ACCAGGGAACAGATCATTGGCCAGAATGGGCACGGCCACAGCAAGAGTGGGTAAAATTGGGATACTTAATTCCCTGAACAAAGAAGCTCCCTCTCTTCTGCTTTTGGTTTCTCTTGGTTCCCCTTATGTACTTGGGACTCTTATTGGTCAGGGTGAGCTCTCCTGTAGTCGCCCACATGGACCATTAGTTGTCTATTGCTGCTGTAACAAACGACCACAAACTTGGTGATGTAGGTCTCACTGAGCTAAAATGGACACAATGGACTAATGGGCTATAGCCTGATGCTGAACTGGACCCAGCTGCAACATGGACTGGAAAGTCTGGACACTGGCCTTGCTTTTAGTTTTACTGAAATCCCAGCTACACTTCTTCTATGACTGGAACGGGACATTGGAAACCCAGGGATGTAATTCCACACAAATAAAAATCACTTGTCCTCCCATGCAAGTCTCAGAAAATTATTTTTCTTGAGATATAGTAAGGATCCTACCCCCAACACCCAGTAGGGAAGAGAACACCATACATTGAGAAACAATGACTTAAGGGGAAAAGTTCATAATTATTCTTCCGGCATTATTGGCCTTGCTCAACATGTTCTTATCATCTAATTTCCTAAAATGAGTTTCCTTCCTTGCTTCTTCCTTCAGGGGTCAATGCTAGTTCCTCCTCCTCCTTCTCCTCCTCCTCTAGGGAGTTCTTTCTAATTCTTTGTCTCTCTGACCTGTGGAACTTATCACCAGTACTTTCATTATTTACTCCTTCAGAACTGTCTAGTTATTGATATTCTTCTTTTCTTGGGCCCATGTTGTGTACCCACCTGAGTAGTGCTAGGACTGTGTAGTGCAAATATTTAACTGCTTGAATAATATTGTGCTTCTTTTCCAATGTGGATAATGTTCACCCCTGCGCAAAGAAGAATCTAGGCCTTAGACAAACCTTCTATTGCTTTACACTGTTGCATAAAGCATTGAAAATGGTGCTGTATTAGTTGTCTAATGCTGCTGTAACAAATGACCACACACTTGGTGATGTGGGTCTCACTGAGCTAAAATTAAGGGTGGTGTTCCTTCTGGGGGCCTTAAGGAAAAATCCATTTCCTTGCCTTTTCCTTCTTCTAGAAGCCTTTGCATTCCCAGGCTCCTGGCCCCCTTCCTCCATCTTCAAAGCCACAAGTGCTAGTTGAGGCTGTTAAAGGACAAAATTCAATTTTAAAGTCTAATTGGTTTTATATTAAGCAATTCATGAATCAGGCAGCATCTCATCTAGCAACTAGAAAGGAGCTTTAAGGGGTTGTTCAAACTGAAAGATTTTTATAGGCAGAAGGGCTATTATCAGCAAAAGCAAAGAAAGGATTATTTTGTCCAGCCCGTGTGGCTCAGTGTTTTGAGTGTTGACCTATGAACCAGGAAGTTTCGATTCTCGGTCAGGGCATATGCCTGGGTTTCTTTGGGCTTGGTTCCCAGTAGAGAGCTTGCAGGAGGCAGTCGATCAATGATTCTCTCTCATCATTGATGTTTCTACCTCTCTCTGCCTCTCCCTTCCTCTCTGAAATAAATACAAACATACCTATATATATGATTATTTTTAGGTCAGGTCACATTCTTTTGGGCGAATGAAATGGAAGGGGTTCTATCATGTAGATTACCTACCTCTCTGGTATTGATGATCAGGAGATTCCAGACTCACTGATTTAAAATTCTACTTCTGGGAGAGGCAGAAACTGCAATTAGGGTAGTAAGTTTTTGTTTGGTGACATGGCTTAGCAAAACTAACTCCATTTCGGCCCATTATTTCTTTATTTTATTAAAAAATATATGATCCATTTTTATTTTTTTATTTTCTAAAATATATTTTTATTGCCCTAGCCAGTTTGGCTTAATGGATAGAGCATTGGCCTGCAGACTGAAGGGTCCTTGGTTCAATTCTAGTCAAGGGCATGCACCTAGGTTGCAAGCTCAATCCCTGGCCCTGGTGGGGGCCCATGCTAGAGGCAACCAATTGATATGTCACTCTCACATCGATGTTTCTCCTTCTCTGTCTCTCCCGCTCCTTTCCACTCTCTCTAAAAAAATCAATGGACAAATATCCTCAGGTGAGGATTAACTAATACACACACACACACATACATATGTATATGTATATATATACACACACACACACACACACACACACACACATATGTATATGTATATATATTCATTTCAGAAAGGAAGAGAGAGGGAGAGAGATAGAAACATCAATGATGAACCCTAGCCGGTTTGGCTCAGTGAATAGAGCAATGGCCTGCAAACAGGGTCCAGGGTTCGATTCCTGTCAAGGACACATGCCTGAGTTGTGGGCTCGATCCCCAGTACAGGAGGCAGCTGATAAATGATTCTCTCATCATTGATGTTTCTCTCTCTCCCTCCCCCTTCCTCTCTGAAATCTCCCTTCCTCTCTGAAATCAATAAAAATATATTTTTTAAAAAAAGAAACATCAATGATGAGAATCATTGACTGGCCGCCTCCTGCATGCCTAGGGGAATTGAGCAGCAACCTGGGCATGTGCCCTGACCATGCCTAGGAGTCAAATCATGATCTCCTGGTTCATAGGTCCACGTTCAATCATTGAGCCACACCAGTGGGGTCTTTCTTTCTTTCTTTCTTTCTTTCTTTCTTTCTTTCTTTCCTTCTTTCTTTCTTTCTTTCTTTCTTTCTTTCTTTCTTTCTTTCTTTCTTTCTTTCTTTCTTCTTTCTTTTTTTCTTTCTGAAATAAGACTATTAAAAAAATAAGCATTTTTTTAAAAGGTCGAAGTGTGAGGAAATAAGCCTTTATTTGAGATCCAAAAGAACAGCTATCAGGGAAGGACTGACTCAGAAAGAAACCCAAATAGGGTTTTGATTAGGAGGTGAAGGCAAGAGATATTTATGAGAAAGGGAAGGGGAATGATTATTTGAATAGAAGGAAGGAATTTTCTATAGGTGCATGAGTACTAACATAGTGATGCTAATTCTAAAGACTATCTTTAATTTTCACTCCAGTGTTCATTTCTGCTTTCCTGTTAGCTTTGCAAACAGTGTTTGGAATACAGTGCTGCTTTAGGCCCAATCCAAAGGTTATTTTGGCCAGTTTCAACATCCCAAAGGTTTGAGGAGTAAGGCATGCTAGGTAGTTCCTCTGGGATGGCAGCTACAACTCCATTTTGAAGTGGCTCTGTTTTATTACTTTTTATAAGGCCTTCACACCACATCACGACCTCCTCTGACTTCATTTTCCACTTTTAAGGACCCTTGTGACGATATCAGGCCCAACTGGAGAATCAGGATAATCTCACTATTTTAAAATCAGTTGATCTTCCCTGGCCAGGTGGCTCAGCTGGTTGGAGCATAAAGTGCATCATAAAGTTTTCGGGTTCGATTTCCGGTCAGGGCATGTATCTAGGTTGCAGGTTCAATCCCAGGTCAGGGCGTGTATGTGAGGCAACCAATCCATGTTTCTCTCTCCCTCTCTTTCCCTCCATTCCTCTCTCTAAACATATCCTCCAGTGAGGATTACAAAACAATCAATTTATTTGCAACCTTAATTCCCCTTTGATTTGCCCCCAGTTCCCAGGGATTGGGAAGAGAACATTTTTGGGGAGCCATCATTCTGCTTATTAGCCATCACCTTTGCTCAAAAGTCTAAATTGAGGGTTTGCATATAGGTGATATGGGCGGGGGGGGGGGGTTGGCAATAAATGGGAAAAGTTTTTGCAATAATGACTGTAAATATAGAGAGGCCCTGCTGCATGATCTTTGGCAAATCACTTTAGTATCCACATTTCTGCTGAAATGGAAATTGCCATCTTTGCTCTGTGTCAAATTATTTAATTATGTAAATGAGTTTAACTTAGAGCAGTGATTTTCAACTTTTTTCATTTCATGGCATACACAAATTACTAAAATTCTACAGCATGCCCAAAACTGTATTATATTTTTTGCCAATCTGACAAAAAATATTAGGTATAATTTTGATTCATTCAATTCAGATGGCTATTGTTGCGTTGGCTGTTGTCATTTTAAAATTTGACAATCTAAGGGAAAAGAGGTCAGTGCCCCCGACTATAGTCAGTTACTGCACATTTAAAAAATTCTTGCAGCACACCAGTTTGCTGTGGCGCACAGGTCAAAAATTGCTGGCTTAGAGGATGTGGCTCAAGAAGCTCTTGATGAATCTTGATAAGGAGGGTGGGCAAAATTCTCTGAATGACATCTGGAAATAGTTTGAGAGACTTTGGAGGAAAGTGAGTAAAAAGAGCATGCTCTTGAATAAAGTTGGGAGGTTGAAAATTCTAGAAAAAGGAATCAAATTAATCCAAGCTTTTCAATTAAGGTTTGAGGAAAAGGGCCCAGGTTTAAAAAGGGGAGAAGTGAATAGGTTGTTTAGGAGGCACCCAGGTGACAGAAAGTACAGGATTGAAGGGGTACATTTGTGAGATCTTTGTAGGCAAAGGGTTAAATTTTACGAAACTCCCTTCATATATATACATATATATGTATATATATTTGTCATAACAATTATCACTTGGTGAATAAATAAAAGAATTAAAAGTGTTGGTTAGAAAAGTGTAAATGAAATGGTGCAGGTTCCACCGAGATTTGAAATGGTGCAGGTTCCACCGAGATTTGAACTCGGATCGCTGGATTCAGAGTCCAGAGTGCTAACCATTACACCATCGACTCCCTAATTACCCCTCCCCCATCCACGAACCCACCGTGAAGAAGCAAAATCGACCCGTTCAAGTAAGGAGGTGCGGCGACCCGTTCAAGTAAGGAGGTGCGGAAAATGAGGGAGGGGACACTAAGAGTGTGGTGAGCGGCTGCAAACCGTGTAATCAGCGAGGAGTCCAGGGCTGTTCCTCCTTTGCGCCTCCAGGAGGAGGTGAAAACTTGAAGACACGAACGGTAGTGGCACGGCCCTCCCTTCCTGAGCTCAGGGGCGGGGCGCAGCCCCCCCGGAAGTACTTTCCCTGAGGTCTACCGGAAGTGGCGTCCGGCAGGGAGGGGTTCTTTACCCGGTCAGGCAGCTGAAGCTCGGCGCTTGGGTTACCCCTGCAGCGACGCCCCCTGGTCCCACCGCTACCACTGCTGCTCCCGCCCCTTCACTCCTCGGCCGCGCCATGGGCACCCGCGACGACGAGTACGACTACCTCTTCAAAGGTGAGGCCGTGGGCTCTCCCACTCTCCCCCGACTCCCGTCCGGGGGCCCGGGACACTCCCGGGGGGCCCGCGCGAGGCCACCTCAGGACTGGAAGTGGCCTTCCTCCGCCTTTCCCTCTCCGTGCGGCTTGCCCCTTGGCCTCCCAGCTCAGCACTTTTCCTTCCTTCCGACGGGGTGGGGAGGGTCCTCGCCGGCACCAGCCCGGCTCAGAGCGACCTCCTCGTAGGCCTTCGCCAGCCTCGGAGCCCCTCACCGAGTGTCCTGGCGGCGGGCTGCCTTCCCCCAGGTCATCTTCCTTTCCCGGGTTTTAGGCCCCTTCTCGGGGGTCGCCCCTCCCACCACCTTCTCTTTGGGATTTGGCGCCCCCTCCCCCTCGGTCTGCGCTCGGCCGGGCTCGCTCCCCTTCCTGCACCCCGGCGACCCGCCCTTCGCTCCGCTCCTCACCTAGCCTCGGCGCAGACCGCCTCCACCGGCCTTCCCTTATCCGCCTCCCTGTCCCCCTGGCGCCTCCCCACCGCCCCGCCTTCCCCTCGGACACACAGCTCCCCCAGCCATGTCCATCCCGGGGCCAGGCCCCGGTGAACATCTGCGCGGCCAGCGCCCGCACCGGCCCACAGCTCCGGCCGCCGGTCACCTCGCGCTGCCCCCGGGATTGGCAGCCCTTTCTCTGCCTTCCCTCCCCAGGCGGCGCTGAGCGCTCCCGGGGCGTCCGTGCGACCCCGAGGCTGGGGCGCCGGGCCGGAGGGGGTGGTCCGTCACCCGCGCACGCACTTGTCGCAGTGGCCCGGCCGACGGGTGTGACCGCCCACCCGGCCTTCTCTCTCCCTCCCTCCCCGGCGGCGCCCGGCCCGGCCCGGGGTGACTCGGACTCCGCTCGCGGGAAGGGGTTGCGGATGGGTGGTGGCTGTTATCCCTGCCAGACCTGCAGGCCCGGTTCCCGGGCAGGAAAGGCTGTGCGCTGCACAAATGCGAGCTGCCTTTATCGCCATGGACTGGCCGCTTCCTGCTGCAGCGCTGGGAGGATCCAACCTGCTTTTGGAGCAGGAAGGGAAGAGTCCTCGTTGGCTCCAGACCTTTCCCAAAAAGTGGGCGGCGGGGAGAAGTTGTGTGCCCTTCGGTCGAATTAAATATTTATTATAAGACAACACATATTGGAGGGTGAGGAGTGGGTAGAAACAATTGCTTATTGGTTAGTCCGGAAAGAATCCAAATAGTTGTGTGTGTTTTTTTTTAATCAACAGAGATAAAGGGTACAGTTTTCAATGAGACAAGAGTACAGTAAATGCTTTTTGTTTTGTTTTGTTTTGTTCAGTGAATGGGCTCTCTCTCTGACGTTCTTTCTTTGCTCCTGAATTAGGAGGGCAGCCATCAGTGGTTATGATGCTGAACAAAGATCATTACCAGGGAGGGAGAAGCCATTGCTGTTAAAGCTTTACCGTGGAGGGTGGAGTTTAGAAAGAGTGTTAAGCACGGTGACAGTGTCTGACTTTGCAATTGGGTGCTAAGGAAGAACGATTGACCAAATGCAGCAGGTAACATTTCTTTACTTTACCAGTACTTTGCAAATCTCGGCATACTAGCTGATGATGCCCTTATCACCACTTGCTCCTCTGGGCCAGAATATTCTATTATACGGGGTGAATATGTTCAGTATCTACTCCCTGCCCCCCCCCCCCCCCCCCTAGTGGAAAGTCATTTACAAGAAGAGGGTACCTAATGCATTTTATATACTGTTTGTTGAAGTCATCTGAGATAGGTGAAATTACTTAAGTGAGACCCTGGACATGAGTTTAGCTATTAAAGGGAGAATTTAAAAAATATATATTTTTTAATGAGGTGCTGTGACAGTGAGCAGCTAGCTACCTTTGAAGTAAATTAATTCAGAACAAGATAGACTATCAGAGTATTTCTTCTGTTTGGTTTGGAACCTAAATGTTGGTTTATAGAAGCCATTTCTTTTTCACTAAGAATATTATCCTGGGTTGGCGTAAGGAATTTTAACCTAATTTTGGGCTTAGAACATCCTACTAACAATGATTGAGAGCACAGGGCTTTGGAGTCACAGAGGCCCATTCAAATCCTGACTCAGGTCTTAAATCTGTTTTGTGACCTTGAGAAAGTTAACTTTTTTAGCGTCAGTTCCCTCATTTATAAAAAGGAACAGTATGTACCTCTCAGGACTGTTGTGAGAATTCAATGGGACTGGTTATAAAATTTTAGTTTCTGTGAGGACTCAATAAATGGTAATAATGTGAAAGAAGTTACTGTGATCTTGTCAGGTTTTTTTTTTTAAACCATAAATCTTTATAAATATAAGAGCATTTAAATATTAGTAAGGAAACTTAAAACTAGGAACTTCTAAAGTACTTTGTTTCCATGGGGTATGGTTTCATTTTGCTGTATATTTTGCTGTTTAAGGTAGAGTGTTTAAAAAATTCTGCTGAGAAGGATTTCCACTTAACGTTCTTACAGGATATGAGTCACTTTTTTATTTATTTCAGTGCTGATTATTTAGCCAAATTCTTATTTATACATATTATTATTCAAAATGAATTAATAATTTATTTTAAAATGGTTCATTCTAGACATGAGATAGGCTGCAGCTCTCTACTTGGAGGAAGGCTTACCTAGCAAACTTAATAGTTGAGGAAATGGAAGTTAGTTTGTAACTCTAACCAATTAAAAATGAAGAGGTATTGTCCTGGCCCTCTACACTGAAAACCAGATTCTGGTCAGGGCACATACCTTGGTTGGGCAAGTATGGGAGGCAGCCAGTCGATGTTTCTCCCTCCTTACCTCCTTCCTAGTCCCTTCCTTTCTCTCTAAAATCAATTAAAAAAAAAAAAGAAGAAGCTGTAAATGTGGGGAGAGCAGGACAGTTAATCTGAATTATGTATTTGTTCTTGAACATTACTCTTTTTAAAAAATATATATTTTATTGATTTTTTACAGAGAGGAAGGGAGAGGGATAGAGAATTAGAAACATCGATGAGAGAGAAACATCGATGAGAGAGAAACATCGATCGCAACCAAGGTACATGCCCTTGACCGGAATCAAACCTGGGACCCTTCAGTCCGCAGGCCGATGCTCTATCCACTGAGCCAAACCAGTTAGGGCTGAACATTACTCTTTAGTTAAACTTAATATTAAGACTTTTGATAGGTGATTGATTTTATTTTTAAAAACTTGACTTTTTATTTTAAACCACAATGTGGTTAAGGCCCTGTGGAACACATAAGTGAAATAAGCATCAACCATAGTTCCTATTTACAAATATTGTGGTAGACACCAATCAACTCAGTCTTATTTTCTGAAAATACCTGGATTACTTAGTCTACACCATTTTCTTTTTAATCTCATTGTAGGTCAGTAATAATTAATTACCAGCTAATTATCAGTAGAAATGATCATAGGAACTTTGCTTTCTTGCATCTTGGTAGTTTTCTTTCAAAATTTTTGATTGAGCAACTCAGATTCTGCTGAGTCTGGAAAACATGTCTAGATTTCAGCCTTATGAAGATTCTTTTGGTGAGGTACTATGAATATACAGGATGAGGCAAAAGTAGGTTTACATTTGTTCATATGGGAAATAATACAATAACTAATCCTATATAATAAAACCCTAATATGCAAATCGACCGAACAGCAGAATGACCGGTTGCTATGACGTGCACTGACCACCAGGGGGAAAATGCTCAATGTAGCAGTTGCCCCCTAGTGGTCAGTGCGCTCCAGAAGCCAGGCTCATGGCTGGCGAGCGCTGGGGTGGTGGCAGGAGCCTCTCTCGCTGCCTCCACTCCAGTGCTAAGGATTGACGGCTTAGGCCCGCTCCCTGTGGGGTCCCGGACTGTGAGAGGGCGCAGGCTGGGCTGAGGGACTCCCCACCTTTCAAGTGCATGAATGTCGTGCACTGGGCCTCTAGTAAATTATAAGAATAAACTGTTTTGAATACTCACAAGTGTAAACCTACTTTTGCCCCATTCTGTAGTTCGAAGAGTAGAAAGATCTTCAAGTTTATTTATAAAAGCCAGTATGAAAACTATCCAAATTCTTATTTATACAATTATTATTCAAAATGAATTAATAATAATTTTATTTTAAAATGGTTCATTCTAGACATGAGATAGGCTGCAGCTCTCTACTTGGAGGAAGGCTTACCTAGCAAACTTAATAGTTGAGGAAATGGAAGTTAGTTTGTAACTCTAACCAATTAAAAATGAAGAGGTATTGTCCTGGCCCTCTACACTGAAAAGGTATTGTCCTGGCCCTCTACACTGCTCAATGTAGCAGTTGCCCCCTAGTGGTCAGTGCGCTCCAGAGGCCAGGCTCATGGCTGGCGAGCGCTGGGGTGGTGGCAGGAGCCTCTCTTGCCGCCACCACTCCAGTGCTAAGGATTGACGGCTTAGGCCCGCTCCCTGTGGGGTCCCGGACTGTGAGAGGGCGCACTTTTTTCTTCACTTTTTTCTTCAGGTGATAACTTACAGATCTGATAATACTATGATTGATTTGTTGAATTAAATTTTAGTTCAGCCTGGCTGGATAGTTCAGTTGGTTAGAGCATTGTCTTGATACACCAACATTGTGGGTTTGATCCCCAGTCAGGGCACATACAAGAATCAACCAATGAATGCATAAATAAGGGGAGCAACAAATTGATGTTTCTTTTTTCTCTTTCAACTCAATAAAAAAAAAAAAATTAGTCCAGTATATTAGTTTGCAACGGAGTGTATAAAACTAAATGTGGTTGAATAGGTGGAAATTTTAATTACTTAATATAATTAATATGTATAATATGTTTTATGGCATTTAGCTGCCTAATATTTGATATATATTGAACCAAATTCAGTTTTAGGGTTAGAGATGATACTTAAAATTCAGCAGATAAGGTTAACCAAGTGGTAATAAATACTGTCAGGCTATTTTAGAAATGCTATAGTTGTTTCATATATAGATGCTGTTATTTATGTTTATATATTTTACTAGAGGCCTGGTGCATGGATTCATGCACCGGTGGAGTCTTTCGGCTTGGCCTGTGCCCTCTCTCAATCCGGCCTGGGAGGGATCGTGGGAGGTTGGCCGGCCTGGGAGGGATCGTGGGAGGTTGGCCAGCCAGGGAGGGACCATGGGAGGGCTCCAGGGCATGTCTGGCCTGTCTCGCCCAGTCCAGATTGGCCAGACCCCAGCAGCAAGCTAACCTACCAGTTGGAGCATCTGCCCCCTGATGGTCAGTGCACATCATAGCAACTGGTTGACTGATGGGTTAGACACTTAGCATATTAGGCTTTTATATCTATGATGATGGCTATAGTTATAGAATGTTCAAAGTACTTTTAACCTAAGATACCAGTTATGGAAAATAGGAAAGTCACTGCAAATTCCTTTCTTGAACTGTGTAGTGTGATCATATTGTGTGTTACATTTAAAAAATGCAATTAAATATTACCATCTTAATGAAAGAAACTAATTAGAAATTAAGTTTGAGTCCATGAAAATTTTTTAAAATATACTTTTATTGATTTCAAAGAGGAAGGCAGAGGGAGAGAGAGATAGAAACATCAATGATGAGAGAGAATCATAGATTGGCTGCCTTCTGCACACCCCCCTACTGGGGATGGAGCCCGCAACCCAGGCATATGCCCTTGACCAGAATTGAACCCAGGACTCTTCAGTCCGCAGGCCAAAGCTCTATTCAATGAGCCAAACTGGCTAGGGCTTTGGTTTGATTTTTAAATCATAGCCAATGAGTTCTCTCCTGTTGCTTAGATAATTTAATCTATTCTTACTAAAAATTTTTTTTTTTTTTTTTTTTAGTGAGCCTAAATGTTTACTTCTTAGTTTGGTTTCTCATTTGGTAACTGAATAGAAGCAGCTTTCCTTATTGTGTCATTTCTCAGCATCATCTTGGCAGCACTATTCTTAAACATTATCTTCTGTTGTAACTTAAGATATAATCCTTTAACAAGTTGCTAATCTTAATTCTAGCAATCTTGTCTATGTCTCGTTGAGATAACTATTTTATACTGTATAAAGCATTTATAAGTTTTGAATTATTTTTAGCTAAAGGTGCTATTTTTTCATAATGTTAATTGTTTACATTGAGGGGAAAAATGCCCTCACTAACTTACTTTATGATGGCATAAAGATTTGAGGATGGGGAGACAATGAACATAGTTATTAGTTAAAGTGGAGGTCAAAAGGGAAGAAATAAAAAACTATAAAGGGCTAGAGTTTTTGTGGGAGGGAGATGGTGTTTTTTTTATTTTCTAAAGGTGTTATCATTCTAGATGTCTTGCTCTTTGGCTCCTGAATTACTGATTGATATCTGAGTGCCTATGAAATAGAAATGGTTAACCTTTCGGGTTTCTTTTATTTCCTATTCCCACTTAAAGTGAGGCTTTTATACCTCAGTGCAAGTGTGGGACCAAAAATGATTCAAAGGAGGTTTCCTCTGCAGAACACTCAGCCTCTTTCACTGAGAGGCAATAGTGAGTGTCCTATTAAGAGGGTAGACTCTATTACTGAAATTGGGATTTGATCTCACGTCCAGAATGGTGGACCTTGGAAACTAACATATCAACTAACCTTCCTATAAAATTGGAAGTGTATTGTATGTTACTTTCATAACCTTAGTATATTCTTTGGTACCCACTTTAAGGCATTTATTATAATATCTGTGGTATTTGCCACCTCTACTTGACTATATAGCTAGAAATAACTCCTTGGGCTGCATGGAATCACTGCTGCCTGGATGATTTCTTGCTGAATCAGCTGATAAAGGAAACCAGAAAGATATGCATTTGATAATATACTCCCTCCAAGACTGCCCAGAGGCTAGCTTTTATCCACTATTATGGCAGGAAAGGAATGCATAATGGATTCTCTTCACCCTCTGACCAGAATGCAGTGAACTCTCACAGTTAAAAAAAAATAATAATTTTTATTGATTTCAGAAAGCGGAAGGGAGAGGGAGAGAGAGAAAAACATCAGTGATGAGAATCATTAATCACCTGCACACCCCCTACTGAGAATTGAGCTTGCAACCTGGGCATGTGCCCTGACCAGGAATTGAACTGTGACCTCCTGGTTCATGTATTGATGCTCAATCACTAAGCCACACCTGCCTCTCAGTTTTTTGTTTAAATATATTTTTATTTACAAAAAATATATATTTTTTGGTGTTTCTTTTTTCTCTTTCAACTCAATAAATAAAAAAGTTAAAAAAAAATTAGTCCAGTATATATATTTTTGCTCTATCCACTGAGCAAAAACGGCTAGGGCTGCCTCTCAGTTTATTTTATTTTATTATTTATATCATTTTATTTTATTTTTTGCCTCTCAGTTTTTACATTCTTCCCCACTCCCTGTCCATTCCACCAAATCCCAATTTCTTTAGTAAGGCATGGTTTTATTTGGTGTTATTTTTGCATATTTGATTTTCTAGTCCTGGTGTCTAGATTAGCTAGTAAGAAGCATTAGTAGTTCACAATAGGAATAAGTATAATATTTCCTGAAATGCCTATAACATTTTTACAAAGGAAAAAAGTTTTATCAGGCTCAGATCCTGTAAATCAGTGAACTCATTTTGTTCTTTAAATTTTGATAGACATGCTTTAAAATAATTTAACTGCCTATATCCCCATTGTTTTTGAAATTCTTGCCTTGGGTGAAAAGAATCCCCGTGTGTTTATTAGTTAATAAATAAACTGTCTCCTAAATAGTAATTATAGGAAATGATTTTATCTAATCAAAGCCTGTTTTAAAGCCCTGGCTGGATAGCTCAGTTGGTTAGAACGTTGTCCCTATACTCCAAGGTTGTATGTAGGTTCAATCTTAGTTCAGGGCACATACAGGAAGCAGCCAATGAGTGCATAAAGAAGTGGAACAACAAATTGATGTTTCTCTTTCTCTTCCAATCAATCAATCAATTTTAAAAAACAAAACCTGTTTTTTAAATAAATCATGAAGTGGTAAGTGAAAGTGTATGTTCCCTGTTGACTCAGAATTATTAGTCAGCTTCCTAGGCTCCCTGTTAAACTTAGTGGATGGAGTGTTTGTTTTTGGAGGAGTCTCTCGTTTCCTGCCAATCTGTTAAATGCAAATGTTGTTTCTGTGATCTGGGTGGCAAAGTTTATAAACCTGATGCCTCATATGTTAAATGTGTTTCATTTTGCCCAGGTGTGAGTCCTGAGGTCACACCTACTCTTTGAAGAAACCAAGAACATTATATTCATTTTATCTCTCTATACCACCAACTAATATCCTTTGTTATTTTTCATGTCTGAGACAAGTTAGAGTCACAAATTGTTCATTTGGTTTAGGATTTATCTTTCAAGTTACCTTCTAAGGCAGCAAATTTCAACCTTTTTCATCTCATGGCACACACAAACTACTAAAATTCTGCGGCACACCAAAAATATATACTCCTATATTTTTGTCAATTTGACAGAAAAATAGGTATAATTTTGATTCATTCACACTGGACGGCTATTGTGGTATCATTCTCTTATTTAATAATCTAAAGGAAAAGAAGTCAGTGCTTCTGGCTAAATAGTCAGGTATTGCATGTTTAAAAAATTTTTGTGACACACCGCTTGAAAATTGCTGTTGTAAGGTGGTGTGCTTGTCTCATTCATCTTAGATAAAGTTCTTTGTCTTTTCAGTTGTCCTTATCGGAGATTCTGGTGTTGGAAAGAGTAATCTCCTGTCTCGATTTACTCGAAATGAGTTTAATCTTGAAAGCAAGAGCACCATTGGAGTAGAGTTTGCAACAAGAAGCATCCAGGTTGATGGAAAAACAATAAAGGCACAGATATGGGACACGGCTGGGCAAGAGCGATATCGAGCTATAACATCAGCGTAAGTCTCAATAGTTTTTTAAGTTCTGTGAAATAGGCTGCCATCAAGTGAATTGGTTGCCATTAAGTTAATTAGCTGACTTTTGTTATCAGAAAAGGTTTTTTTCCCCTTTTAAGAATGCCAGTATTAGGATTTTGAAATTTATTTATAAATGTGTTTTTAAAAATATATAATCCATGCCCTAGCCAGTGTGGCTTAGTTGGTTGAGTTGTCCCTCCCATGCACCAAAAGGTTGGTTCGATTCCTGGTTGGAGCACATGCCTGGGTTGTGGGATCCCAGTAGGTGGTGTGCAGGCGGCAACCAATTGATGTTCTCTCTCTCTCCCTCTTCATCTCCATTCCTCTCTCTCTAAAATCAGTAAAAACATATTAAAATATATATAATCCATATATTTAGTTCTTCCTAGTGTTTCCTTCTATTTTGTGGTTGTTTTCTAATAGTTACATATGTTTCTGTTTTCAGATACTATCGTGGAGCTGTAGGTGCCTTGTTGGTTTATGACATTGCTAAACATCTCACATATGAAAATGTAGAGCGATGGCTGAAAGAACTGAGAGATCATGCTGATAGTAACATTGTTATCATGCTTGTGGGCAATAAGAGTGATTTGCGTCATCTCAGGGCAGTTCCTACAGATGAAGCAAGAGCTTTTGCAGGTTAGTGATATGAGTTTCATGTTATTACAGTGATTCTGTATTTCTTACTGTCATATTTTCAGTTTTGATAACCCTTCCAATGCGGTTAATCAGTTACAGTAGTTTCAGAAAAGTAAACATGAATAAATAATGAATGCTCAGCAAGGATTGTTGTTTTTAAAGTATATGATGACTCTTGGGCTCTTTTGCTTAATTTTGAGTCATTAAAACACTATAGTATTTTGAGTTTTTGCTGCCAAAAATTGAATATAAATACTGTCTCCTTTTCTCTCCTGGAAAGGGTAGATGAAATCTATTCTGTATTCTTGTTTCTTTTTCCATTATGTTTCTGTGTTTACCAAGGCTGCTCTATGTGGGTCTGAAAAGTAGTAGACCAGGGAGTGTCAAGGATCATAGGCATTCAGCTGCTTAGGAATTATAACTTTTTAAGCTTTACAGGGGGTCTACCTATCTCTTGCCACTGTTCTGAAAGGGCATTCTACCAGAAGGCAACATTGTACATTCTTGGCTAGTGAAGGTTGTGAGCCTCCACTAGTGATTATGCCGATTTTTGGTTTTCCAGGCAAGAAGCTTTATTTCAAATAATATAGTTACAGAATTCTAAGTGAATCTTATATACCCATCCTTGTTTATACCATAGCTGTGTGGTTAAAGGACCATAAGGGATAGAAGTAGCAGGATATTTGATAATTTACTATATTTTGAGTAGTGTTATCATTCTTGTGGTAGTATTTAGGTACACCAAGTATTTATTTTAATGAACCCAGTAAAAATTTCTTATGTTTAATTTTAATCTACTAAAGTGTAAGTATCCTTTATTGCCAAGAATGGTATCCTTATTGCCAAGAAGTTGGGGAAGTGGAACAACAAATCGATTATTTCTCTCTCCCTCTCCCCCTTCCTCTCTCTCTAAAATTAATTTTTAAAAAAGGAAAGGAAAGGTCTTTTATATTTCCATTTAAAGCCTTGAGTGTATTACATCTCTTGTATTAACTTTGCACAAAACTGAAGTTTTTGCGTCTCCCCACAGAAAAGAATGGTTTGTCATTCATTGAGACATCAGCTCTAGACTCTACAAATGTAGAAGCTGCTTTTCAGACAATTCTGACAGGTAAGACTTGCATTTTCAGATTATTCCAGTGGGAAATAAAAGTTTTAGGGAGATAATTTAAACAAATTAATTGGGAAAACAAACTGTCACATTCTCTGAGAATGACATCATTTTAGAGAGCTACTAGAACAAGAGCTATAAAATTAGTTACAACTTTTGCTTGTTGAACTTTAATCATTCTAATTTATCTGGTTTATAGTGGGAAAATACTTTGAAAATTATTTGTTCACTTCTATTATTATCCATGTATTCTATAATTCATGGTCACAGAGTAATGCTTAAATGTACTTTCTAAGATAAATATTGAAATCCTGGCTATGAAAAGATATAATAAATGCCTTATTGAAATTCAGTAAAGTAAAGGCATTCTAGGTTCTGATGTGTGTTATAGAAGCAGTTAGGGAAAAATATGTTCTTAAAAATTTAAATGAAAAACAAAAAGTAAAATTCTCTCATGATATATTGTAGAAGAAGCAGAGTGTCACCTGTGGAAAAAAATCAGCCAGTTATTGCATATAGAAAAGTTTAAGTAGTGGGGAAGGAACAAAGTTCATGTTGTTTTGGAATGTGGATATGCAGACCAGGTCAACCTCAAGTATAAGAAGGCATTTTATTTGTGATGACTCATATTTACCTTGTCTTTATTAATCTTAATCCTCTAATAAATACTTCGATAGGTTGTTTTAAATACTTTAAAATTATATGTTACTTTTAAGAACTTGCTAGTTATTTGTTTTTAAATATATTTTTTATTGATTTCATAGAGGAAGGGTGAGAGAGAGAGAGAGAGAGAGAGAGAGAGAAACATCGATGATGAGAGAGAATCATTGATTGGCTGCCTCCTGCACACCCTGCACTGGGAATCCAGCCCGCAACCCCTGGCATGTGCCCTGACCACAGAATCAAACCATGACCTCCTGGTTCATAGGTGGATGGTTAACCACTGAGCTGGGCAAGAGCTCACTAGTTTTAATACATAGGATAGTCTTGTTCTAAAAAAGTCTATATGGATAAATGGTTAAATAAATGTTTTCAATTATAATGTAACAAGATTCTTTGTATGCAGCACTTGTATTAGATGTAAACAGGTTTTAACTTTTAAATGTCTTATTTTACTCTAAAAAGTAGGGAATAGACCTAGGATTTAAAAGTATGGACTTGGAAGCCTGACTTGGGTTCTAGTCTGGCTCCTCCACTTACTAGCTCTATAATCTTAGGTAAGTTACTTAATCTTTTTAGGCCTTACTTTTTTTTTTTTTTTGTCTGTAAAATTTAAATATGTTTTGGGGAGTTCTGTTATTTTCTTTTTGGTGAGAGTCTGAATTTATAACAAATACCTTTGATACGATTTGCCTCGACTGTTAGGTTGTGACTTCAAGGTTTTTGTCTCTGTAATCCATAGAAAAGAATTGCCTGTCACTGAGACATCTACTCTAGACTCCAAAATGCGTACATGAGTTCGTGCATATAAAATACTTAGCTATTCCTGGTACCTAGTGAACATTTGATAAATTAGTAGCTAAATAGCAATTAAGGTATGAAAAAATTTAACTAAAAAAACTAAATAGTGGTGATTTGTATACCTATCTTATTAGAATTCTTTTCTGTTATCAAAAAATAGTAACTAGCCCTGGCTGGTTTGGCTCAGTGGCTAGAGCATCAGCCTATGGACTGAAAGGTCCCAGGTTCGACTCCAGCCCAGGGCACATGCCTGGGTTGCAGGTTCAATCTCCAGTGGAGGAGGCAGCCGATCAATGATTCCCTCTTATCATTGATGTTTCTATCTCTCTTTCCCTCTCCCTTCCTCTCTGAAATCAAGAAAAATATATATATTTTTAAAAAAATAGTAACTAAAAGAACTGGTGCTGGGGTTGGATAAATAGTCTTTGGAACATAGTAGCTTTCATTTAGAATCTTGTGTGGTTTCATTGCAGATCATTTCAAACAGGCAAGATTTGGTTAAATATGCAGTATATCTGTAAATCCTACTTTTCCCTTTATAACCACTTAAGTGGATTCTATTGACTCAATATGTAGACTAATACTAATTTTAGACCTAGCAGGGTAGGCTTCTACTTTTTAACTATTTGCTCCCATTCCCTCTATAACTAAGGTCACTGAATCTCCCTGGTTCTTAGATTTATAGTGTCTTAAAATAAGGAAAGAGAAACAGGAAAGAGAAAAAAAAGTCATCTTGAAGGTCTGAGTCTCAAGGCCTCTAAAAATGTCACTTGAAAAACTTTTTAGTCAGTCCTTGTTGTTGGGATATTTTTTTTGTCCAATTGCATCTCCTCTGCTATAATTCTAGCCCATTTATCCTGATCCAATTTCTGGCCCATTTATTCTGATATTAAGTAAAGGTGAGACCAAGTCTTCCATCTGCTGTGGACTATTGTATGCATCATTTGTGACATTGAACTTATAATCTACTTAAACCTGAACTAGTCATAAACAGTGATATATACTTAAAATGGAGCTGTTTTGTCCTTAAAGATGAAGAACATCTGGCTATTTTTCTTATAATTTACTCTAGATTAAACTTTTGTTATTGCTTGACTAATGTTGCTTGAAAACAAACAAGACTTTAGCTTCACTTGCTACCACTTTTCCTCTCTATATTCACTATTTCCTCAACTTCCTGCATAAATCTCAGTGTTTATCTGTGGGATCAGAGATCACTGCATATGGCAGCAGACATCTGTGCTGTTTTGCAAGTGTTAGGATGTTTGTTCGAAACTTTTTTTTTTTTACCAGTGGGAGGATTAATGCATTGAAAGAAACAGGAAAGAGAAAAATACTCATTAAGCTTAATTCACCTTAAATGTTAACAGTATTAAGGGAGCATTTACATTGTATATTGATGTTGCTCTAAGAAAAAAATAGTTTTTTAGCTCATGGACACAGGCAATAGGGGGGGTGAAGACCTGGGGGGATGGGTAGGGGCTGAGAGGAGGGGATTAAAAGGGGCGGGAATGGGAGACATCTATAATACTATCAACAATAAAATATATATATTTAAACAAAAGAAAAAATAGCTTTTTAATTTTAAAATTATATATTGAAATATTACTATATATCAATAATACTTTCCATAGTCTTATTTTTTTCTTTTAACTTTGAATTTTGATAATTTCAAACTTAAAGAACAGTTACAATCATAGTAAAAGAATTGGCAAATATCCTTCACCCATATTACCCATATTTACATTGTATATTGATGTTGCTGTAAGAAAAAAATAGTTTTTGCCTAAGTACTTTTTATTGTAAAGATAAGAACATTCTCTTTTATAACCGTAGTATAATTCTCAAAGTTAGAGTTAAGTAGTAACTTTAAAGATCAGTGTTTAACTATAGACCTTATTCAGATTTTGCCAGTTGTTCCAATTATTAGCAAAATAAAGTCTGGAATTAGATCACACATTGTATTTCGCTGTTGTATCTCTTTAGTTTCTACTAACCTGAAATAGTTTGTCGGTCTTTTCTATATTGTAATTTTTTTGAAGGATACAGTTACTAAATTTGGGTTTTTGTCTACTGTTTCCTCGTGATTAAGTTCAGGTTATGTATTTTTAGCAGGAACATCACAAAAGTGCTTAGTGCATCGTATTAGGAGGCTCATGATACTGGTTTGTTTTATTCATTACTAGTGACGTTAACTTCGGTCACTTGGTTAAGGTGATCTCTGTCAGGTTTCTACATTAAATTACTAAGTACAAGTCATCTTTTTAGTATGAGACTAAATCTTTTTGTGGTTGAAAGGAGTTTACTTCACTTAGCGTATTGACTTAGAAGTGGAGTGAGAGTTTTCAGGCATTACAGTAGTCTCCCCTTATCTGCAGTTTTACTTTCCTCAGTTTTAGTGACCCACAGTCAGGTGTGGTCCAAAAAT